ATAATGAGTTTAATCCTAGATTATAATGAATATAACCCGCAATTCGCAACTCCATCAGTATTATCATCGAAATTCGCGTTAAGTACGCTTATACAGTGATTCCTGTGGAAAAAGTGGAGACAATTATTCAATATCAATAATTAAGTCGATTTGAATGTTTTACAAGGCGGCCTCTTACTCGAAAAACGGTCGATTTTTGCTCCAAACGCGAACAACTCGAAATAATTTGCATTTCCATCAGGATAACCATTTAATTTTACGACTCTTCTTACGGTTTGCAATTGAAGCTTCAAATTTCTTTATTCATCTCAGCCTTTTTTGACAACATTCCACTCTAATTGTTAACAATTTGGATACATTTTCGGCTCTTTCACAAAGATGACTTTCTTTTCGAATAAATTTTTACTTGATGAAGAACAATTTCATCAAATTTACAACTATTTTTACGACTATCCTGATCATAATATGTTAATATCAGTGCGTCTATCACTTTTAGGGCGTTACTCAATTTCCACCATTTTGTTCAGTGAATAAAGGCGGTACTAACCGTTTTAGCTTTTTATTTACTTTCCACTACTCTTCATACATACACATTTATATGTATGGTATATATAGGATATCTATATATATGTATACATGCTGCTCACGTAAAAGTGTATTCTTCAGATAAATGGTTTCTGAACCTTGTTGGACTTGGTTTTTGCCAATCGTGTTAGTCGTGCGCAAGCAAAACACCATTAAACAACATTTATTTCAGTCTCCTGTGCCATGTTATTTTCCAATTTCACCTTTAAACTTTAATTGCAAAATGGACCTGAGCACAACATCAACCTCTAATCGGAATAACCAGCCGGTAGTTTTACCAGTGTCGATTACAACAATTACTAATAAAATGACTCATCGGATTGCAAAAAGTGTATTTAGTATCCGTAGCATTGTAGATGTTGAAACCAGACACAATTCAACAGCCCAAAAACCAATCGATAATCAACATTCAATAAATATTAAACTTCATTATCAAGGTTTGATATTACTATCAACATTTTTTCTTGTTAATTGCATTTATTATATTCTAAAATAAGCTACCTCAATTATCATTCAATATTTACTGTCTTATCCTTTAAAAATTTTACAATATATTTATTAAGTAAATTTAATTGTCTCACTTTTAAATATAGTATTATGTATATATTATTGAAAATTCTCTACATATAGTGTTATCGGTTATTTGACACTTACCAGTTTCGAATAAAATTTTATTTCAAATACTTATAACATTCTAAACAAATGACAATATAAGTGTCAATACTTCTAGATTACTACAAATAATTTACCATAAAAATTTTATTTCAAGTACCTATAATACGATCCAATTACGAGAATCTATTAACATACATCTTTCTTCCATAATTTTAATTGATATTATTAAATTAAATTTACTGGTACAATGAATCTCAAAATATCCTTAAATTTTTGACTCTAGAAAAAATAAATTTCCAATCTTAAGAGTTAAGTTGAAATAATAAAAATCAATAAAAAAAGATTGTATATGATGATCCTGCTACCAATAATATGTGGTAACATAAGATAATAAATAATCTAGACAGCAACAGGGGTTTTATACGTGCTATTTTGCACTGATTGGTTGACCCAAACGAGTCACTAATTGTATTTTATTAAACGCTCACTGTAAGCACTCTTTCAATTCTTAAAAATACATTCATTTTTCTTTTTTTAATTGTAATTAACACTTTTATTTAAAAGTCTTGTTATAAGTATGATGTAATGTATTATGTATATAAGATTTTTTTTCATTAATATACAATAATTTCATTACATGACAGTATAATTGTTGATTACGATTATTAAATTATCTAATTAATTCCGTCACTGATAGTTTAGTGGTAGCACAAAATAACAGTGTATACTAATTATATTTTTAAAGTTATATGTCGATCCAGCTCGATAGATCAATTATTGTAATTAGTTTATATCTGTATAGAGTATTCTCTTCTCTATACAGATATATACAGATATAATTTACGTATTTGCTAATTTCATTCACATAACTTATAATTAACCAATATAATAAATTATTAAACTATACAACACTACAATATTATCATTGTAAACAACGCCCTATGTTTAATATTATACACTGTTGCGTGACGATGATATTAGCCAATTGGATCATTAATCGCTCCGTCGGTTCGTGACAGCTGATCGCCGACTCTGCGTATATATACTGAAAGTATTTCCATTCAAAAAGAAGTAATTGCTAATTACTAATTGCAAATACAAACACTCTATGGCTGATTAAGAATCATCTTTTTTGGTTTTGTTATTAAACTAATTATAAGATTGCTTATAAGCATTATTATTATTTATTATTATATATACTGTAATTTGGTGATGTGCATAATTAATTTTATTTTGCAAAGACTGAAATTTAATTAAATGTTTACGAAAAAATGTGTGTATTTATGTACTATACAATTTATTTTTCCTTGTCTATTTCCGGTTAAAGAATATTATTTCTCATACTCTACACGGGAAGAAAATTGAACGAGTTTTTACTATTTTACTATTGTAATTTTTACTAAATAAAATAGTAACGGTGGACTATACTTCTCATTTAGTAATTTTTACGATCTACTATTGTAAATTTTATCCAACAAATAAGACTAGCAAGAGTTTTAAAAAGTCGAATACTATAGAGCAAACTATACAATATGTGTTTGTGAACTTTACAATTCAACTATTGTAAAAATTCACAGTTGGTTTTTTTAAAAGAAATATTAGGGAGGGAGAGAGATAGAAGGTTGCACGAATTGGTACCTGTACAGTAATCGAAAAAAGAAACAAATATTTTCGTGCTATCTGGGAATCGAACCCAGAACTCTGTGTTGGCAACCAGAGACTCTCCCTCTAGGCTATCCGAGGTAAACTAAGACCCATGTCCTTTAACATTTACATAAACTCAGAGTCTAGCGCTGTGCACGGCCATCACTTATACTAATTGAGAGACATTCCAATTCAACTATTGTAAAATTTGCTATAGTTCTATTGGAAAGATACAGAGGCAGCACTGGAAATTTTCAATACTTTTTACAATAGTTATATCGTATTTTTTCATGAATAAATAGTATTTTTTCTTCTAAAATATTTGATAATTAATAGTAATAAAAGTATAGTCCAGCTTTACAATAGTTGTATCGTAAATTTTGCCAGAAATTTTTTCCCGTGTATTTAACCACAACGCTATACTAGGAAACGTCAAATTACTTACAATGCATACATTTAAAAGTACAAATACGTAGATTATTGTAATTTTCATCAATTTTTCATGCTTAACTTCTGTCTTTAATATCTATATAATCATTTAAGAAATTTTTAAATCACTGCAATAAATTATAGAATTAATTGTTATGAAAATAATATCACTCAATAAGAACTTAGTTGCAACAAATTTTAAAACTTTTAATAAAATATAAACATTCAGATTATATTATTTGCACATTTCTTATCTTCTATAAAATAAAATAAATACAAGATGTTATTCCTGTTACAAGCAGAGGTTAAAAAAATCATATATATAAATAACAGTTTCAAGCGAACGAAAAAGTGAGGGCAATTTTGTAAAGTTAAATAAAATAAAATTATGTAGTCGTAATAGCCGCGCGGTGTGCATAAATATCACTTCTCGGTCTCCAGTGAAACTATGGTTGATTGTCAAATTATCGATAATATCGATAAACCAACAATGACTATAGCGGCCGAGTATACTTAAGTGTTTGAATTTGCGGATGTGGGTGGAGCGAATGATCATGAAAAATATTATAAAGTATTCTATATATATATATATATGAATTATCTCAAAGCCAGAAGACGAAACCACAGAGAATTGGGTTCCGAAATCCAGATATACATGTACCAATTTTTACTATGAAATATTTCATTAGTTTTTTTTTTTTAACTTCAGTTTTTATCTTAATCGTGATAAAAAAAATTTTAATTTGAATTTATAAGAGCTTTAGCTTTTTCCAAAATTTTAGGAATTACGTTCGAATTACGCTTAAATCGTATATATACTTTCAAGTTCAACATTAATATTGGAAATTTCATTTATTTATTTATATTCTTAAAATCATTGTTATTAATATGTTTTTAACAAAAAACGGCTTCTAAAAGAATATATATACAATCGAGTATTATATGTTAGACCATAATAAAATAGATGTTATTTGTCTTTAATGTCCTCAAAAAATATACGTTCGTCATGTTTATGTAGCATTTGTATATTATATATTTAGTTGAAACTACATGTAAATATTTTTTTTTTTAACAACTAGACTTCTCAATCATTTCGAATATTTATAGAATAAAATATAAACAAGAAATGATTGAATCTCCAAAGACCATCTTTGAAGTTCTCGCTATTTTTGAAAGTAAAACGTTCGAAAATTTACCTCTTAGTTATTCTCCGAATATAAAAATCTGAAAACTATTTCAAAGCAACATTTTTTTTGCTGCATTATTTTCTAATTACTTTAGATTTGGATTTCCTCAATGGAATTCGCCGTAAACTTTTAATCACAGTTAATTTATCTAAAATGTCTTTCATTAACTGGTCGAAGAATTTGAGGTAGCTAAAAAAAAATTAAAATTAATTTTTTGTTCAGTTTATATTGTTTGAGTATCTTTAAAACGGATGAACCGATTAAATCCAAAAGCTAATAAGATTTAAATTTCTATGAACCCTTTTAAACGACGTGTTATATACGCGAGTTAATTCTACTCACATACATTTTTATATAACGACAAAAATACATAAATTTTTACAAAATTTTTGTTATTTATCGAATATCTTTCAAAGTCCGCAATAAAACAATTTCATATACAAATCTCATGTAACGATACATGACAAATATATATTTTTATGTAGTTTTTAGGTAAAATTCTCAACGTTTGTTTATACAATTATGGGAGGAGATTTATCAAAAATATAAAATACACGATTGGCTGTATCAAAGTTGTTTGGGCGGTACACAAAGTTGTGTTTTACTCACACGAAGGAGTGAACAATAACCTCGTCGTGCAATAGCAAGTATATAAAGAGAAAAGGGGCAACTCCGTTTCATGCCAACGTAGTAGGGAGAATACCACCGCAGTAGGTTTCATCCGACATGGACAAGCAATATCGGGCTTTCAAAACGCAGACGCGGCAAGTAACTCTACCCGCGCAGTCGTAAAAAATACGCGGTCTGGAAAGTTTATTATACTGTGTTTTATATATGTTATGTGTTTTTTTATCAACATTATATTTCCATAATTATTTGTGTTGTTCTCATATCATACAAGAGTTATTTTGTAATACATCATTTTTTACAGTTTGTCTTTGTGTATAAAAATTAATAAAATAGAAAATTTGTTAGAATCTCTGTATTTCGATAATTAACAGTAGATATTTTTTTACATCGAAAAAGATTCCACTTTACAGTTAACATACGTTACATGTTTAAACTATATTATTGAATTTAATATAATTAACATACATACCCACGTTTAATCGCATATATTTAATTTAGTAACGTGAGTTATATATATAAATTTATACACATAATATATATTATTAAGAATATGATAAGCTATCTAATCCTCTAGTTGAACACAATTTATCAAAAAGATAACTATAAACAAAATTTTTATTTATCATCGGATTTTATTGTTTTACCCACCGTCGGCTCCATATATCATGAAGAGTTATAAAAACTAATGTGAATTATATAAAACACAGAGTTGAAAAACTCGATATATTTATCTAATGACTTTTAAATTAGGTAGGTGTTTATAACATTTATGATAATATCTGTATTCTATTGTATAATTTTGAAATATGTTGATGATGATGATGATAGGAATAATAACAACAACAACAACAACAACAACAACAATAATAATAATAATAATAATAATAATAATAGAATTATTTTACTGGGAATATTATAATTCACACTAATAACAATATATAAATTCAGATCAACAATCAGTGCTGCTAATAGATAATTCATTTCTTGAAATTTTAATGATGTCACATTATTATATTTAAAGTAAATTATACAGTAAAAAATATTGTGTATTTGTGTTAAATACGGTCTGTGTTACAAATTTGTTGTGTTAAAATAACATAAAGTGTATTACTTTGTTGAATTTTAACACGAACTCTGTGTCAACCGTATTTAATACAAAAATTGTGTTGATTTTACACAATATTTTTTGCTGTGTGTAGTGTATGCGTATATATCTCAAACGGAAAGTAAAAAAACTATAATATATACTGTCATAATTCTGAATTACTATTCAGTCAGGATTTTTATTATAAATATGTAATGAAATACGTCCAAAATCTTAATCCATTTGCACTTATAGCATATTTATATAATAAAAATAAATATTAAACTTTTTTGCTATAATTATCTTCAATACTGTTACAGTATCCCGCATGGAGAAATATATATGTCAAAAATATATGTCGCATATATAATATATATGCCGCATATATTTACGCAAAAAAAAATATGTCAACATATATTTTTCACATAGATGCTGACATATATGCAGAGATACATGCTTACATATATGTAGACATATATGTAAGCATACACTGAAAAAAAAATTTCTAAGTTTGAGAATTTTTTTACTCAAATCAAGAAAGTTAAATTTTTCAAAATTACTTTCTTGATTCAAGTTAAATTTTTTCTGTGTATCTCTAGACACTTATATGCGCACATATATGTGAACATATATGCACGCATATATGTGAACATATATCTACGCATATATGTGATCATATATGCGGACATATATTTAGCGCAAAAAAAATATATGTGAAAATATATATTTGCATATATTTTTCGCATATATATTTTTCCATGCGGGATATTTTACACCTTTATTATTTTTTAAAATGAATTCACCGAAGAACAAGGAAATTAGTCTTTTATATACAGTGGCAGGTAGTAGTTATCTCGGTTGAGCTCCCAGTTAATGACAACCCCTACCTTTGAGCTATTACACGATAATATTGTCTATACATATAATATACATCCACTTATTATTTACACATGATGATTTCTTAGCTTCATAGTATACAAATGAAGTTAATTTTTTTAAAGATTAGAGAACGATTTAAATCAATATTTTTAAATATTGTTACCATTATCCTTTATTATTAAAGAAACCTTTAATATATTAATAATTCATACAAAATAATATAAAAATTAAATTAAATTCATTAATAGTTAAACAGAAAAATAAAATAATTTTATTCAGATATAATAGCAATAGTATTTAGTATATTCTAGCTCTGCTTTGAGTTATCATAATAAAATTAATAAGAAAAAGATGAGCAAAACTATCAGTTAAGAAATAATAATTACATTTTCATGAATAATTTTATGTAAAAAAAAAAAAAAAAAAAAAAAAAAAAGTAAATAAATATTCATATTATTAACTATTTTACCAGAAGTGTTAATTTTCAATTTTATTAATATTTTGTTTATTGATCATCGCACTCATTCACAACAATTCACTTATCTAGTATATTAGGTAATTAAAGACTATTGTGGTTGATTAATTCTTGAAATTAAAAGACACACTATAGTACATATAAGACCATGTATACTCGACCACCCCGAATGTGTTTACACGGAATTGATTCGTCGCTTTCGGTAAAACAACAAAGAAAGACAGCGAAGGGTTATGTTAAATGGATTAGACATAGGAATTTAAGCGACGATGAATTGCCCAGAAATTCCATTATGATATATAGATATATATTGTTGTTGTTGTTGGTTGTTTTGTTAGATGTCAACTCGTTTCGTCGTCAGAAGAAAAAAAAAATGTGTGCAAGAAAAGTGTTTGTTATTCTGAGAACAACGAATACGATGATTTCAATCACATGGCGATGATGAAGCAAACAACTCTTAGGATAAAAATGATAAATAAAAACTAGGAGAATGTTATTTTACTGAGATTAGGCACCTGTGCACATTTAGTACATCTGGATCCTAAATATTAATCGTATCGGTAAAAACTTATTATACGATAAAATAATTGCGTTGAATAAAACTATTGTCATCTCATTGGACAATATTTGGATTAATTGATTATTAACCGCCATGTTTATAATATATGTAAACTCGATTTGAGGATATTTTTATTTTTTTTTTTTTTTTTTTTTTTTTGTAATATGTAATTAATAGTCATGTAAAATGACATTTAATGAGTTATAAAAGCAAGTAAAGTTGACGCGACAAGGATAAAGAAAATATTTCCGGTTTGCACATGTTCTCATACGGGCGGACGTTATTTTTCCGTTGTGCAACGTAAAAATGTATATGTGTATATTAAAACATATTTTTAGTTTTAAATAGATTATACTACAAATGATACGGATAATTGTATATACATAGTGAAATCCAATGCCATGAAAATAAAAATTTATAAAAATTAGTATTATTATTGTTACTAAATCATTACATTTGGAATCCTATTAAAATATAACTTATTGAATATGAATCATGTAATACAATAAATTGAAGTAATGTTTATAATAAATACACATAAAATTAATTGATGATTTTGATTTTAGATGAAAATCGAATGGAAGATGAAGATATTCATCCACCTCAGACAGGTTCATCTGATACTACTACTACTATTGTTAGTACTGCTGTTACTGCTACTGTTGATGCTAATACAACTATTACCGCAGCTACTGCTGTTGCTGGTACAGCACCACCTACCAGTCCAGAAAGTGATGCTGATATAGAAGATTTTACACCTAAAAGAAAACAAAGAAGATATAGAACAACTTTTACAAGTTTTCAACTTGAAGAACTGGAAAAGGCATTTTCTAGAACTCACTATCCTGACGTTTTTACGAGGTAGACAAACAAACATTTCAATAAATTAATTTTATTCCAAAACTATCTGTTGATAAGTTATAAATACACTAATAAAATAAAATAATATTTAATTTAAAAATTATCCGCCTCAATACAAAGTAGATAAATAAGAGTCGTTTTTTTCTAGATAAATATAGTCATTTTTCAAGTGTCGTAGATATTGTATCATGAAAAATGCATATTGGAGTTTCATGTTCAAGTTGTAATAATAGAATAGACTATAATTAAAAAAAATATAAATATAATAAATAACAACATCACAACACTATAATAAGCTCTACGAGTTAATCAGTATTTTCTCCCGATGTTTTATAAATGATCAACGGGCAGTTTTTAGCATCAGACTAATTGGATTTTATGACCATTCCGGTTTATATTTGATTAGTTTTATGTATAGATGTATGTTTAAATCTTTTTGTAATAATACATACTATTTCATTATATAATTGTATGTATGTTGCCTGAGTAAAAAATTTACTATATATATGTATAATTATATGTATAATCTACATTCTCAAGCCACTATGTATATATTATTTAATTAAAAATATTACAATTAGCTTAAGTTTAAAATAACTAAAACCACATTTTTGGTTATATATATATATATATATATATATATATACATCAATTTTTGCCGGCGTCACTCAAACTATCAAGACGTTTGATCCACAATACGTTAGACTTTCTAAAGATCTAATTAAGATATAAGGACAAGAAGGTGCTTTGTAATAGCTATACCATATACCATACACCGTAAAATATTACGTACAAAAGTTATTTTAGTATTTTAAGCACATGTAGATATTTAATAAAAATAATTGAAACACATACTTATATTATAAAAATGTAAGAAACCGTATAAAATATATGACATAGGTGTGCCAAAGCAGAAAATATCTAAAAAGAAAAAAATTTAACGTTGAATAAATTTGGCAATTAATGAAAGAAAGGATACATAAAAGAGCGGAGCCACACAAACTCTTGCTTTCGGGATCGCGGAAACAATTATCGTTATTAAGTTCAACCGCCCCGCACGCCCTTGAAGTTCTTCATTATATCTTCATAGTCTTTTTTTTTTATTTTCTTTTGAAAAGGATGCTCGAAACTTTACTCTGGATATAACCGAACATTTCTCGGGAAGTTGGTTAAACCTTTCCGGTCGTAAAATAAAATTACTACAAACAAAGGGCTACGTTTTCTTTTGTTTCATTATTATTATTATTAATAATAATAATTTTATTATTTTTTTTGTTATTATTATTATTATTATTATTATTATATTTTTTTAAATACAAAATTGAGAGTTACATTTATAGTTATTTGTAAATTACCGAAAATAATCAAGTGCATATATATATTTAAATCGATGCTTACTACGAATAATTTTTCAAGTTTATCATTGAAAAAGATTCTTATAGTGTGCTGTTGACAAAATTTGAATAATTTCTAAATGCATGCAATAGTAATAAAAGAGATGATTTGATATTCTTTAAGGAATGTTTGAAATTCTTAATCAGCACTATTTATAAGCGCCAATATTTTGAGAATAGGTAATCTAAAGAAATTTTTACCAAGTAATTTTTTTGTTGAGCGTAAAATTCCCTTCAAAATCATGATTCAAAAGTTTTAGCGACCGACTCATTCAAAGTTGTAGAAATAAAAACAAATTTCTCCATGTTATTTATATGACAAATAAAAGAAATGGATTGAGGAAGCCTCAATATAAATATTAAGAGCTCTGGTAAGGACAAAATTTTTATTCGTAGGCGTACTTTCAATTTTTAGACACCATCAAAGAAAAAATTCAGTTTTTTTTAAACGTTCTTGTAAACATATATATGTAGATCAGTATAATTTTTTATTTATTAATTTCAATGATGGTTTTCATATACGTTTACTCGTTAGTTATTCTATAGAAAGATTATTATATTAATGTATTATTAAATTCAAAGTTTCATTAAAAAATAAATTATTATACTCACTTATAATGAAGGACATTCGCGCGTGCTTTGGGTGTTAGTTAGCAAATAAAACAAAAAGTTGAGGTATTAAAGAATCGAGGTTATAGCCTTCTCTCAACTCGTGAATAGAAATAATGTAATTACACAATATGCCACGTTTACAACACGCTGATATTACTGCGAAATTTATAATTTTTATACTGTACATAAAAAATTACAAAAAAGATTATTTGATTTACATATTTCATTTATCATTTTCAGAGAGGAACTTGCTATAAAAATTGGTCTTACAGAAGCTCGTATTCAAGTAAGTTACATTACAGGTAAACATATAAATAATATATAATGTTAACATTAGAGTAATCATTAATTATAATCAATTTTATCATAATAAAAAATTATACAGTAAAAAATATCGTGCATTTGCGTCAAAAATAGCTTTTATGTTAAAATGTATATATATATATATATGTATATATATATATATATATATATATATATATATA